GTTGCAAAGACTAAAGTCTCAAATCCAAAGAGATATTCTTTATAAAAGGTAAGAGTCAGCCACACCTACCTAAAACAGCTCATTCTAACATTCCCCCACATACCTACTTCACTTTAAACCGCATAAACACATTTCATTACACCAAATACATAAAATAATATTATTTTTAGCAGCATCATATGACCCCTTTAATGAAGAGCAATTTCTGTTCTTTACACCATGACAATAAACAAGATCGCGCCCTGGGTGCACCGGGCCTGTGCAGAGAAACACACGGAGTAGAGGTGGTGGGAGACTTAGCAGCGCGCTGTATACTTACCCCGGACTTGTGAGCGTCAGCCCGGAATGTTTCAAGCGCGGCTCTCTCAGCTGAGCCCTCGAACGTGTCCTCACCTGCACTCAAAGGTAGACACGCATCCAATACAATAGGGGATATATTCACACGTTATAGAAACGAAAATGGTGTATAAAATGTATTTTAAGATAAAAAATAGACGATAAAGAATTAACAAACAGGAAGTGACGTGTACTATTTATGTATAGTTTCACAAAACTGAAGTCAAACCATTGTTTTTGCTTCAAATTTCGAAATTATACAATGTGATTTAGATTAAAAACTGCTCATGTTGCATGTATGCAGCATCTTTGTTTGGATCATGATTAAAATGCAGTGGTTGCCTTTAAACGGAAAGAGCACAGACAAAGCCTTATTTTGTTTATATGAAGAGATTTCTTTTATTTGTGTTACTTATTTATTTGATTTGGGGCTTGTTTTAAAATTTGAATTTATTTTTGTTATTTACATTTACATTATATTTAAATTTTGATATTTAGCAGACGATTCTATCCAAAACGACTTACAAATGACAACAATAAAAGCAATCAAAACCAACAAAAGAGCAAGAATATGCAAGTGCTATATTAGTATATTATTCTAGTGTTATATTTCAATTTCACAAAGAAACGTGCAGCATTTTGTCCAAGCAACAATAAAAGGACACATTTAATTTATAATTTGTCTTAAATTTAATTTTGTAAAAAAAAAAAACGTGAATCGAATCGTGAAATCAAAATCGTGAATTGAATCGTGAGTTGAGTGAATCGTTACATCCCTAGTGAACAGACAGTTTGTCCGATCCTGGCAAAATCAGTATTGACTGATTCAGCGTGATTCAAGCAATCAGAAGAGATCATGATTTTCACCAATTTTTCAGAAGTTGTAAGCAAAAAATAGACATTTCATATTTGAGGACCTGTAGGTGCCACTGTTTCTCAAATTAAGCATGTGTCCCCAGATCATGGGGCTGATGATGTGTACACAGGTTTATTTTTATAGACGCATAGTATGCATTACAAAAATGTTATTTCATTTCAACATCAAGAGTTGAGAATCAAAAATTCAGTTCAGTAATTACTCAGTCTCATTATAGCTCAGTCTCATGATAATCTGAGGCCATTTTGATGAGATTCGGATAAAATTTGAAGGAGTTCAGTACATTTCAAAATGGTAACTACTGTAACGAGAAGAGCCTATATAAACATGTAAACTGTGAACTAAAAATGTAGTCTCTAGGACAAAAGTTCTAAAGCTATCAAAAGAAGAGTACATTTTTGAACTGGTGGTGGCATTATAGATTTGGTACTTGAGACCATAGAGTTGGTTAGATTACTATTCAGGACCACACCTATCTGTGTGCCAAATTTGATCATTTTGGAAAGTGTAGTTCTTACAGCTTCCATAAACTCCCATTGGGGAGGAATAAGAAGAAAAATAAAACCAATAGATACAAAAGGGATTACAGCACAGTCTGTGCTTGGCCTGTAATAAACGCAAAATAATAATCAACATTCAGGGAATACAGTCAGACTACATTTTATTTAAGGGGTCTAGATAATGGGTAGGGGGGCACAGGCCCCAAAAACTTTAAGAATAACAATGTTTTCATGTCTGCCGCTTTGTGCCATTAAACTGGGGTTAAATTATATATATTTTTTACCTTAGACCTGATGCTGCTGAAAGAGGAGAGTCAAGAACTGCATGATGTAAAGGAAGACAAACATCTGTACGAGAAACATCATGATTTCATAACTGCTCGGACTAAAAACGCTCCCTCACGAAAAAGTTATTTCACCTGCGAACAATGTGGAAAGAGTTTCGCCAGAAGAGGAGGACTTAAGGTCCACATGAGAATTCACACTGGAAAGAAACCTTTCACCTGCCAACAGTGTGGAAAGAGTTTTATTGAAAATGGAAACCTTACAAAACATATGAGAGTTCACACTGGAGAGAAGCCTTACATGTGCCCTCAGTGTGGAAAGTGTTTTACACATCAAGCAACCCTTAATACCCACATGAGAACTCACACTGGAGAGAAGCCTTTCACATGTGATCAGTGTGGAAAAAGGTTCAGAAGGAAACAAAACCTTGATTGCCACATCTGGATTCACTTAAGGGAGAACTGTTTTAACTCTCATCAGTGCGAAAGGAGTTTCACAGACAAGAATCACGTAATAACTTGCATCAGAGAAAAGCCTTTAATGTGCCATCTCTGTGGAAAGAGCTGCACAAACAAAGGAAACCTTAAGGTTCACCTAAGAACTCACACTGGGGAGAAACCTTTCACCTGCCAACAGTGTGGAAAGAGCTTCACAGCTAAAGGAAACCTAAAGACTCACATGAGGATTCACACTGGAGAGAAACCTTTCACCTGTCAACAGTGTGGAAAGAGCTTCACAGCTAAAGGAAACCTAAAGACTCACATGAGGATTCACACTGGAGAGAAACCTTTCACCTGTCAACAGTGTGGAAAGAGCTTCACAGCTAAAGGAAACCTAAAGACTCACATGAGGATTCACACGGGAGAGAAGCCATTCACATGTGATCAGTGTGAAATTAGTTTCACATATATCTCAGACTTGAAACGTCATAAGCAATCTCATTCTGGGAAGAAATGGCCATGTTCCTCAGTGTGATGCGGTTAGCAGAACTGAGCACCTGTGTATTAACTCTGGATGAAGAGAAAATCATTCTGATGTGTATAATGGTGTGTTCAAGTCATGTCGGATAGATTGTATTTACTAGTTGAACGCACATGAACGCCACCACAAAGTCGTTATTACGAGTGGGAAACTCGAAATTTTCTTTAAGCCCCGAGTTTCCGAGTTGGGGGCATGTCAATGAGAAACATGGCGGAATCGATGGATTCAACGTCTGTAGTTGACGGTAACGTTTTGTTTAAATTGATAGTTTAGTTGTCCTATAAACTTACATTGCTCATGTTCTTGTTACGCAGCTGAAATCCAAGTAAACAAATGCAGACCCTGTTGTATTTCCTTGTAATTTATTAAAAGAAGGTACACCGCCATCTTGTGCCGACTAAACTGACTTGAACGCACCTGACGTCGTAATTACGACTTGTCAACTCGTAAGTGCGAATGTCCCAGGAGGACTTGAACGCAGCATAACACTCTTTTAAAGTTGAACGCACATGAACGCCACCACAAAGTCGTTATTACGAGTGGGAAACGAGAAATTTTCTTTAAGCCTCGAGTTTCCGAGTTGGGGGCGTGTCAATGAGAAACATGGCGGAATCGATGGATTCAACGTCTGTAGTTGACGGTAACGTTTTGTTTAAATTGATAGTTTAGTTGTCCTATAAACTTACATTGCTCATGTTCTTGTTACGCAGCTGAAATCCAAGTAAACAAATGCAGACCCTGTTGTATTTCCTTGTAATTTATTAAAAGAAGGTACACCGCCATCTTGTGCCGACTAAACTGACTTGAACGCACCTGACGTCGTAATTACGACTTGTCAACTCGTAAGTGCGAATGTCCCAGGAGGACTTGAACGCAGCATAACACTCTTTTAATTTTAGTTCATTTTGTATTTTTGAGTCATATTCCATGTATGTCTTATTTTAAAAAGAAACACTGTTAAAGGGATAGTTCACCCAAAAATGAAAATGTGATGTTTATCTGCTTACCCCCAGGGCATCCAAGATGTAGGTGACTTTGTTTCTTCA